AATAGTCCACTTGACCCAGTTGTGAAAAGCTCAGCAGTATCGCAGGGATTCGATCACATGGCAAGGCTTGAGTACCTGAGCTACCAGGTCCGACCGGGACCCCTTGGATCAGATCACAGTAAAATCTACCGATAAAAACTATAACTTCAGTGAGTCTAGTAGTCATCTAGTGTATTCTAGGTTGACTGTTTAAGAAGGTCCAATTTGGCAGTCAGTTTAATTTATCGGAATTTGTGAGCTCGATACGTTCCAGCGGACTGGGCGAGTAAGATGGCCCTAATATGATTAAACGTACAGTTCCTGTTGGGGTCTCGTAGTCCAGACGGTAGGAGCATTGACTGCTGACGGGGACTAGAATCCCACTGAGGCCGCCCAATTTTTTTGCAACTAGACCAAATAAATTATTGTCGTAATAATTATTATAAATTAATTCGGGCTATTGCTAAAAAATCGATGACGCGAACATCACTTTCAAACTGCTCACTGCTATTTAGCAAACCACATTCTAGTGGGACAGGAGAATGGGTAATCCTTTGTATTACAGCTGTCCTTGCATCGAATTCCAAGGGAAGGTTATGTTTACGGTTAGAACACAAGGTTACCGATATCAAGGGATTAAATTTGCCTTATTAACCCCAATTATTTTCGCATTGAGCAGATTATTCTCGATCAGTTGATTGCTATTATTTCAATGCATCGTCCTAGGAAAGTGAGCTACCAAAGCTAGCTATTCGTTTTAACTAGTTTGGGTGGAATAACGAAGGACTTGTTTGGAGACATACCCCAAACCTAGAGGACGACATGTTAACTCATGTTTGTTTAGTCATTCAACCGTACGTTCTAGCGGCTAAATCGTGGGCCCAACTTCTGTCGTTTGTAATTAAGTGACTTAAAGATGAATGGCAGGGCAGAAATTTTGACAAAGCTGGAAGATTCGAAAACGCGGATTTCGGGTTTGTTCGATGCCATCAGCCACTTACTTCTCAATCCAAAAAGAGGCTACAC